GCCCGCTGCCGGGTCCGTGTCTCTTCGTCATCCTCCCCGTCATAGAGCACAGTGTGGCCATGCAGGAGCATGGTCACAGTCCAGCCATGTGTCCTCTGCAAGAGGTGGGTGTCAGGATCCATCTCTGCACCCCCTCCCAGGGTGACCTGGCTGGGTGCTGTCCACACCAGGCTCACCTGCAGCCAGTCCAGCACCTCCTGCACCGTCATCTCCTGCCCATCTGCGCTGACTGCCTGCATCTCCAGCCGGTCCCAGCAGCTCCACTCCCGCCCACCGTACTGCAAGGGGGAGTGCAGAGCTGCAGCCAGCACTGGCACCCCACATCCCAGCTGCCCAGCCCTCTAGGGCAGGGACAGGTGGGGCACAAGGGCTGGGGTACAGCAGGGCAGGGAAAAGGGACCAGTCTGAGGGCAGGTGGATGAGGCCACTGTGGTGGTCTGGGGGCAAGGCGGGGCACAGCCATCCCCCTGGCACTGCTGGGTCTAGGTGACAACAGGAGCATCGCCATCCCCCTCCCAGGCACCCCAGCATCCAGGGGCATTGGTGGGCACCTCTGTCCCCCCAGCACTGCAGGGGCCGGCACCACCCCGAGCCCCGGGCCAGGAAGGGCACACAAAGGGCCATTGAAGTGCTGCCCAGCCCCACACAATCGCCTCTTCTCATGCCTGCAGCCCCCTGACCCCAGCTCTGGCCTGAGGGGGCCAGTGAGGCGCCAACCTCAGGGCTGAGCGCCGGATGTGGCCCTGTGCCGTCTGGCACGGCTGCCCTGCCATCTGCCCTCGCCGCAGGCAGCGCCGGCCCCTGCCCAGTGCTGGCCCCGGCCCCGTTCCCACCTAGCTGCTCAGCCCCTCTGCCTTCTGCTGCCTTCTCACTTCCTGTCTTCTGCCGTCTGTGCTTATCCCACTGGGGTGCAACGGGCTTAACCCCATCCTCACCAGGGCGGTATGGACCCAGGCAATTGCCCCATGCAGAGGCAACGCCACTGCCCATCCCAGCGCCCCAGAAAGCCCATCCCCTGGGCGAGGCTGCCCCCCAAGGTGGGCTCCCAGGGCCCCTGTGGGACCAGCTGCAAGTCACGCCAAGCAGGCCTGTGGGACACATGTTCCCACCACGGCCAAGCAGCTAGGCATGTCCTTGCCATGGGATGTGGAGGTGGCAAGTGCTGCTGCGGGGACCCCAGGGCATGGCCAGCCCCAGCAGCATCCTCGACCCAGGGACGGTGCCAACTTGCGGGCACCATGGCAGGACAGCACAGGGCTGGGGCAGCCTGTGGTGTGCGAGGGGACCATGGGGCAGCCAGGAAGCCCGGAACAGTGCTGGAGTGGCGTGAAGCAGTGGAGGTGCCTCCCTCCCCCTCTTCCTGCCCCCGGCCCTGGGCCCCCCGGGCCAATCTGGTTCCATTCGGCGCTTCCTGCCGCACCGGAAGGGCTGCCTAGCACACCATAAACCCCCAGACAAAGGGGCCTCTATCACCCAGACGGTCCCAATCCGGGCCTGCCCCCGCCCCCGCTCTCCTTCCCCAGCAGAGCGGCTGGGGGC